AAATATTGAAGTGTGGATTGCTCGTCATCAGTCTCTGTTTCCTCACCTGCAGAATCCTCGTTCCCTCCATTGTTTCCGCCATTGCCACTGTTGCCACCAGAATTGTTGTCATCCTGGTCTTCCTCATCACCCTGCATATCATCGTCCCCCGTGTCTTTGTCATTGTCGTTGTCATTGTCTTCGCTTTCTTCATCATCATCGTCTTCCTTTTCTTCATCCTCATCTTTTTTTTCTTCCTCCTCCTCTTCGTCCTCCTTATCCTCCTTGCTTTCATCCATTACTGCCCCCCTCTCCTGAAAAGTTGCTTCTCCCTCCTCGTTGTCGTTGCATCCAGCTTTTTGAACTACAAAGTCGTCACCATCATCATTGCTTGAGTGGCCGTCGTTGTCACTTTCATCACCCCCTTTGTCCCAGTCACTTTCGTCACTGCCACTTGCATCTTCCTCACTGTCAGTTTTGAATGAGTCTTCTTCACTCGATAAGCTTTCTCTCACAGCTGGAGCTTGTTTGGATTTCCTAGTAGGTTCTTGCCTCCTCTTTTCCACATGAACAACCTCTGATCTGCTTGTCCCCTCTTGCGCATCATCTATCCCCCCAATACCAGAAACAAGCTTCCCAACTGCATGTGAAATAGTTGAACACATTTCGTGCACCATACGTGTCAGCTTCTTTTGTTTCTGCAAACAACATGAAAGTAGAAAAAATGGATGAACATGATAAGTCTTGACAATATGTTGGTTTGAGATTAAAAATGGAAAAACTAGTGAGCATAACAGGCACTTGATAACTTACATTTTTGTCATATGACTCAGGTAATCTTGCTGCTACAAATTTTGTGACGTGGTCCATGCTACCAAACAAGCTATCATCCGCACACCGTGAGAACTCAGTCTTCAGCTGCTCGTTGGGTTGGCAAAAAAAACAATAAAGGATGGGATAAAAGGAATTAGTGAATTCTGGCACTGGCTTGACAACAGAAAAAAAAAAGAAACCGTAAAATGCTCGTGAGAGTGCTTTGATTTAACTGCCATTTTTAGTTAGAAAACTAGCCTATCATGTTGCCAAGTTTACAGAAAAACAAATGCATGCTTTAACCCAAGTCAAGCACTGTGGCATCATTTTTGCCTAAATTTCCTTATCATGTGTGGATGGGGTTTCTAGCATGTAGAATCGCTTAGTTTTTCAGTATATAACTTAGCAGGACTATATCAATTATAGGAAACCATCAAGTTGCCATAAAAAACTATGAGCTTGCTAATGTTTAGTGTGCAACTTGCTATGGTGAAATTATTGGATTTGCCTATTTTTTCTTAAAAAGTTTAGACATCAGCTGCTATAACTGCCCCAGCAAAAATCCTACCTGTTGCAGGCAGTTGCAAACAAGGGTAAACAAAATGAGTAGAAAACTACAAAGTTGGTTCATGAAGTACTTTTGAACTTGCTACTGTCCAATATACAAATTGCTACGGGCAATGTGTTGGACTTTCCTACTTGTTGACAAAATCTTATACATCATCTACAAAATAGTGACAAGATAACAAAAAAATGACCACAAAAAACTTTGTACTTGTTTGGACCTTATAATTCAATTGCCTCCTCTATGAGAAGCTAGATTTGCCTAACCTCATGCCTTTTAAAGCAAATAAAATTCAATTACTGAATACAGATGTGATGACAAAAAATAGCTTACCCGCAGTTTCCCATATTCCCCGGGAGCTTTCCTGTCCTTCTTGATAACTCTTGCCATCAAATCTGAATTCCAAACTGAAACCCTTGGTACCAAGCTGGGAATTGGTTCATCAACATCCAAAGAGTCTAGATACAGCAACCGAGTTCCGGATAAGAAAAACATAGAGTTTGAGTTATGATATGATTTTTAAGAAAACATAGAGCACATAGGAAACATACAGATTCAAAAGGTAGGTGGACTTACTACGAGGTGGAAAACACAGCAACAAACGGCCTTCTTGGCACGACCTGATTTGAATGCTAGCTTTAGTTGATCAACCACAAACTGGCATATGTTGGTTTTAGTTATTCCATTTACATCCATGACCGCAGGGAAGCTTTTTGGTGAAATGCTTAAACTTGTAGATGGTGCAAGGAAGCAAGAGAAGACAAGAGACAACCATGCGCGTAGGAAGTCATCATCGTGAGCTCCTGCCATATCTTTGATCATCTTGCCCCATGCTGTGAGAGATGGTGAATTCTTTGAAGTGATATTGTAAATCCTGAACATTGCCTTTGTGATCTCAGGGCGGTTTTCGTAACAGACTTTTCTCCCACTATTTGGCAAACCCCATATCCTCCGAACACTCGCAGCATCTACTGGAATCTTCCCCCTCTCTGGAATAACTATCTGTGACATCTCTGGATCATAATGCTTCATTATCCATTGACTAAGATCGCCAGGCATGCTGTTCGCTGCAAGGTCCAGCAGGCCTCCAAACTCTTTTCCAATAATAACACCTTTTTGATTAGAAACCAACTCTTTATTCAATTTGAACAGCCTTGCAGGCGATGCCCTATTCCTACGACCCTATGGGAAAATAGTTTGAAAAACAGAAGAAACAAAAATCAACAAAAATGGAATATGCAAAGCAATTTAGACACCACTACTAGGCAATTGTTTCAATAAGGTGAAGCAGAAAATACCTCGTTTCCTCCGGTTTTCTGCCGCTTTGGATTTGGTGGCTTATCCACACCACCGCTTTTGTCACTCACATTTTTAGCATCTCCGGGAAGACTCTCATTGCTCACAATATCATCAGGGCGCTTCCCTCGGCAGATAATTACCTTACTCCTCTGGCGCTTGTACCCAACTAACGGTTCACTGCTTTGAGCCTGAGAAATGAAGATAAACACATAAATAACAATCCATAACATGAAGTTATGAAAAAATAAACCAAGAATGAAGATAAGGAAACAGGTAGAATGTTTCGAAAATGATTTAATGAATTCTGCACACCTCCATCCTACGGGCTTCAGTTGCATGAGATGCGCCATCAACAGAATCCAATGCAGGGGGGGCATCCTGTATGCCTTTCTTGCTTGCCCCCGACATGTTTTCGTGCTGCACGTAAAAAAGAACATCATCACACATGAAAAAAAGGAGTAAAAAAACTGCAAATTTCCTAGTGTTCAGCCTAGTCATGTAAACACAGAATGACACACATAAAATGCATGATCACATTAAAAAAACAAAACTAAAAAACTGATGCAAAAGTGTCAGGCAAACTCATACAGAAAGAAAACATGACATGCTGGAAAAACGGGTAGTCATATAAGGCAACTAGAACTAAAACTAAAGCTGAATTTATTTCTGTTTTGCTATATAAAGTTGGACTAAAGTGTAAAGAAAAACTGAAGCACATCAGACACACTGTTTTTTCAGATCAAGCAACTTGCACCAATGTCGTTTAAAAATTGACACCAATAAACTAGTTCCCTCTATTCTACATCTACCCATGGCCTTATCGCGGGTTGCTTGATCTGAAAGTATTGTTCACACATATAAGAGATAGGAACATATGGACAGACAACATACTAAAATGACCCTAATTCAGGTTTTGATACCAACATACAGGTTTTTTCCTGATGCCCAAATACTTCATTGAGCAACTTCTGGCAACATATTGAGCAAGTCATTCACCGCAGTGAAGCAAAAAACGAACAAAAAACTACAGAACTTCTGTATGGGCAACTTCAGGAAACATATTGAGCAAGTCGCTCGCAAAACTAGAGCAACTTGACAAAAAAAAGGGGACAAACTACAGAGTTTCAGTGTGGGCAACTTTTGCACCATACTGAGCAATTCGCTCTCAACACTATGGCAACAGTACAGCAACACTACAGAAAATGTGAACAAAAACTAAACTACCTCTGTGATAAGCATCCCAAACAACACTTCACCTTCAACCCAGCATCCCAAAAAACATCCGACAAACTGGCTTCAAACCACCTACATCCAACCAGTAGTGGAATCACCTTGCCAAACAATCCCAAACGTCCACTATCTACTCGTCAACTATCTACTCGTCAATTTCGAGACAAGGGCAACAAGCGCAAACGAAAAACGAGGCCAGATCTCCTTACCAAACGATTGCGAAGCAGGGAGATGGTCGTCCTATACGCGACCCTGACCTCTGCGCGAACGGCACGGCGCTCGCAGCGGCCGTTCCTCCCCTGTCGACGACTTGTACTCCGACGACCGTGAGCGGCGCCGCAGCACAGCCTACTTCTCCTCTTCCGGGAACAGGGAACGCAACAGAAGCACCTGGTGCCCGTGCGCCGCTGGCTACCTCCCCCTTGCCGGTAAACTCAGCCCGCACCTGGAGGCCGCACGCGCCGCTGGCTATCGTCCCCCTCGCCAGGAACCGCCGCCCGCACCTGGTCGCCGCGCGCCGCTGGCTACCTCTCCTTCGCCGTGAATGGCCGCCCGCAACTGGCCGTCGCGCGGCGCTGGCTACCTCCCCTTCGCCGTGAATAGCTCCACCCCGGCGGGACGAACGGTGGCGGATTTGGGGCAGGGGCAGGAGAGATTGCGGGATTTGGGGCGGAGTGAGTGAACAGTTTCGAAAATGAGGGGAGACGGACACGAGAGGAGAGGAAGTGGTGGGACCCGGAACCGACGCTCCCACCCAACGGGCGACGGGCCGACCAAGTGAAACGCGCGAGCGAGGAAAAACAGACAGCGGCGCACCTGGTGGGCGTGATCGCGATCAGACGGCGCAAAGACGTGTGCGCTCGAGTGCGCTGACGAGCACAGCTGCACTTTTTAGGATTTGGGATTAAACAAAAGAGGGCCTAATGTTAGTGGAAGGCGCGCCCACCGTCCCACGCATGTGTTTGTGGAGCCGAGCGAGGTGCCCGCGTGTGGTCTGCTTCGCCATCCACTCCTGCTACTCAGCACACTGCACACACCCCAGCTCGATCGTCCCACCGTCCCCTCCTTCCTCCGGCGAGATGCTCCTCTCGGAGCTCCCGACTCCACCCCGCCCATGGCGCCCCCGCGTTCGAGAAGCCCATTCCGCTCGCCCTCGCCACCTCCCTCTCCCCGGCTCCCACACCGCGGCCTTACCGAGAAGGCGCCACCTCCTCCTGTCCCCTTCCGCGACTCCGTCCGACGACCCCGCGCTCCCTCCGGCGAGGCGACCGTCCCGCCCGAAGAGGGCGTCGGGTGAGGGCGAGGGGTGGATGAAGAAGGCGGTGCCGCCCGCGCCCGTCACGCGCGGGCTCTCCAGCCCCGTCCCCGAGGAGCCGCTGTCGCCGCTCCGGTGGACGGCCGGGCGGCAGGCGCGCGCCGCGTGGCGGAAGGCGACGTCGTTGGTGCCCAGGAGGGCCAGGAGCGTCATCCTGCTCAACCTGCTCGTCCTCATATTTGGTACGGAGGTATCCGGCTCCCTCGCCCTGCATTTCTGATAGAGTATTACTGCACGCTGCACACCACCTGTTCGATGGTATTTCAGAGAGAAATGGCGAGGGGAGGGGTCTGGGGTCTGTCATATCTGTGTCATATCCTGGGGTGATGTCTTCTCGGACTGGAATGGTGTGGGTTATTTCAATACCACAAGCACAACCTTAGGCCCTGTTCGGCAGACGTCCACTCCTTGCTTTCCAACTCCCAGCTCCATCCAGAAGCGGAGCGCACGGAGCGGCACTTTTGCAACTCTGAAAAAGTGGCCTACAAGCCGCTCCGCTCCGCTCTGGGAGAGGCATGGAGCCAGCGCGTTCGGTGCCACTCCGCAGCTCCTCCAGCCGCTCCAGGAGCTGAGCTCGGAGCGGAGGCCTGCCGAACAGGCACTTATTGTGTACCTGCATGCTAGTTAGCTAGTGTACATGGAAATATAATTTTTAGAATACCATAACGTACTATGGCTTCATTCATAGATTAATAGCTTAATCTATGAAATAGTCATTTCAGGTATACATTGTGTGATTGCAATTCTCACATAATATTGTTGCTAACATGTTCAGTATATCCTATGTATATTGTGATAGTGCATGCCTTTTCATGGATGTTGTATCTATCCTTTTTGCCTGATATAGCATGCTAATTCTTCTCTTTTTGTTCTCTAAGGCTCTGCCATCAAATATGGAGTGTTGCTGTTATATTTCTTTAGTGCTTGCTTACTAAGAATAGAAGTCCATGCTCCATTTTCCGGTTATTGCACATAGAATGAGTGTCAATACACTATAGTAGTGTGATTTGGAAAATGTGAACACAATTTCAGATGAACAATACAAGTAAATTCGCACCTCGCTACCTGATTTTAAATTTGATGAGTACTGCTGAACACTCCTTGTCTGAGATTTTCTCCTGAATAGTCAGCTAAATTGAATTTTCTTTTTCTACCAGCAAGCAACATTTCTATTGTCAAAGAAGCACAGACTATGTTGGATCCTGACCTTTTCAATATCATACGCTTCACTATTGCGGCCATTCCTTTTGTGCCATTCTTGTTGAAGTCACTCAGAGACATGCAAGTTGTTCTTAGGGGCGTAGAGCTGGGGGTTTGGGTAACCTTGGCCTACCTCACTCAATCTATTGGGTTAGTTACAGCTGATGCTGGCCGTGCATCTTTCATATCCGCCCTCACAGTAAGATCCTTTCTCAAGCTTAGTCCATAAAGTATTCCCACTAAGATATGTTGTATGTTCTTTACTCAAACATATTCAGGTGATCATTGTTCCTTTCTTGGATGGTATTCTTGGAGCAGAAATACCTGCATATACATGGCTTGGAGCATTTTTATCAGTTCTCGGGGTTGGTATTCTGGAGTTAAGTGGTTCTCCACCATGTGTAAGTCGATTATCTACATGTAAAGGTCCACAAGTTTGTCTGACGTTTTTATTTGTCTTAGGGCTTATAGTATTGTTCTGTGTCAAGATTAGTGTGCTTTATAATTTGAGCTCTGTATTAGTGTGCTTTAGAATTTGACCTCTTTATTCTTGATTCAACAAGTTGATAATAACTGCACAACTTGCACATATCATGTTGATTGATCCTGTCTCTGCGTACTGTCTTTAGGTTGGTGATCTTCTGACCCTCCTTAGTGCCTTTTGTTTTGGAATTCACATGCTCAGAACCGAGCATATTTCCAGGAAAATGAAGAAAGAAAATTTCCTACCGCTTGTTGGATGTCAGGTTAGTTATCGACTAAATCTCAATGCTTCTCTTGCATTTATCTCTGAAAATTTTCCTTTTTTTTCTTGAGCAAGTGTTCTAAAAATTGGTTTAAAATCAGGTGGTTGTCGTAGCTGTTGTGTCGGCAGTCTCGTTCATTGTTAAATGCTTCCTCCAGAATGTGGTACCCTGGAATTTAAAATCAGGGACACCAACAGAGTTATTCAGTATGATGTCATCGTTTCCTTGGCTAGCAATACTATACACAGGCATAATCGCAACAACCTTTTGTTTATGGGCAGAGGTTAGTAACTAATCTTGCCATGCCGATTCTTTTCAGTTTGATGTCAGTTTATTTCTAGAAATACCTTTTTTTTCTGACATTTTCCTGTCATCAGATCGTTGCTATGCGTGATGTATCAGCTACAGAAACTGCAATAATTTATGGTCTGGAACCAGTATGGGGTGCTACTTTCGCATGGGCAATTCATGGCGAGAGATGGGGCATTACTGGACTTATTGGAGCTATCTTCATCATAGGTACTTATTCACCAGCCACCACATTCTCAGCTACATTCCGTATTACGAATTTTCAATGATGAAAGTTAATGACTAGTTGCAGTACAAACCATCAATGTCCTTCACTGTTTGGAAATGTAGGGCGTAGTTCGGGCATCCAAGTTTAAATTTGACCAACAAATAATCTGAGAATATGTGGGTTATGTTAAAGCACAATAGGGTTATGTTTTTCCAAAAGTACTTTCTTGTGATTGTGATTTGTAATATTGTACTTCAAACTTGGACAATAAAGTTAACACCTTAGATTTCCTACAGGAGGGAGTAGTTCCCACAGCGAGAATATTGACTCTTGTTTTTCTTTTCAGCTGGTAGCTTGATGGTTCAGGTACTGGGGTCATTTCTTGATATTGATGTATCAGAGGACAGTTACCAGATGAACAGCTGATACATAAATTGCAAAAATACGAGGATTTCACATGATATGATCAGTTGATCACTACTGCGAAGTAATACGCCAAGTAGTTAGCATGACACTGCAACAAGATCTAACTACAATTATGGCCAGTTGCACAAGGAATGGAAAGCTCACTAGGCTGACAAAAATAGGGGTGGCGTGGCTCACTGGTGGCCTGAGCAACTGATGAAAACAAACTGTGGTGCCTCGTGGCATGGAGAACACATCTACAGAAAATGGTGATGTGTATCACTCCACTAAACGCTTAGGGTAGCCTGATGTAGTATCAGTAACAGTCTAAATCCTTCTTTCTCTCAATGTAAATCCATCCACATGATGTAGTATGTAATAGATTACTTCATGCTGACATGAAACTAGATTGTACCAACCTTTGTTTTAGTACGTTATCGTTCATTGCCAGCTAGATATATGTCCATAAAACTAGATTGTACCAACTCACACATAGATTACAAATTCTCCATGGGATCAGAACTGCACCTAGCATGCTTGTGATCAAACGGCATATTCCAGCCCAAGAAACGAAAAACAAGATTATACTCACAGGAGTAGTAGTATATATCTCAGAAACAGAGCAGTACCATTGCAGGCTCACAGGAGCAAGAAGTAGAGCAACAGTTTTGGGGAAATATCTGGTACTCCCACCCCTAGGGTGCTCCCGGTGCTCCAAAACTCGATAGCATGTTTTAAAATGTTCAAAAAATTCTATCAATGGCTACCCTTGTATCCCTTTCAACTCCTATCTTTCAACTCCTTCTATCAATGCAATGATCCACAAGCTTTCGCGTATTCGCGAAAAAATTAATGCAAAGTCATAATAATTCAGGTAACAAATACTTGTACTTTCTAAATGCATAAGTACATCGAACCATCAATACACAACTTTCAAATATAACAAGATGCATGCTAAAGATAATTCCAGTAGTCGAACTAAGAACAAGGAACCACACCAAAACCGAACAACAGACCGTACACATGACTGTCTAAACTTTTAGCAATCATGTCCGCTTGCCTGACCTGAATTCTGCATTTGAGCGTCTAAGTAAGCTAATGGGCCTAGAGCCATTCAGTCTGCCAGTCACAAGGAATGGAAAGCTCACTAGGCTGATTGTTTGACCAGTTCCTTCTTTCCTCCTTGCCGCTGCCGGCCTTCAGCAGAAGGCAGGGACACGGGCGCCATTGGGGACGTGCGCTGCCGCCGCCATTCTACCATGCAGGGAGGGAACCCGCTTCGCCGGTCGCCTCTCCAGTAGACCGATCGATGCCCCGCAACCTCCGCCATCGGCCCAGTAAAAAAATACAACTAAATTATGGGTTCATGCATAGTCAATGAAACTACAAAAGAAAATCCGAAACTGTCAGAAAAGTTCAGACTTAAATGATCAACAAGTGCAGTGTCCGAAACTGTCAGTCATTATCATTTGTACTGTAAAAAAGGTTAGAGAGAAAAAATAATGAAGATGAGTCACATAAACCTATTCAGATCACTCCCTCTCCAACATTGGCAATGCTCACTAGATCTTTATAATCTGGGTACTTGTTTGAGGTACAAATAACAAAAGGGAATTCAGAAAGGTGATTCAGTTCAACCTCTTGTACCTCCTGTGCATGTGTGAATTAAGGAGTAGCAAGGACAGGAACAGCAAAATTCAGAGATGACAGAAAACCAAGGAACAAATTACACACTATGGAGCTAAAATACAACTATTTAGATGAAGGCATTATTAAAAAAGACAACATAGTTCAGTAAGTCATGAACATAAATACTGCAGAATTTGGGGACCACTTAGATACTGTAAATTCAGTTAGAAACAAGACAGCCAAATTGCACTTAAATTTCAAGGAAAAATATGACTATTCCACACTGTAAATCATGAACATTGACACTGTAATAACTGTTCACTCCACACTGTAAATAGACAGAACAAACTTTTTTTTGTCACAACTTGAATCTGCTCTGCAACTTATGAACTTGTAGTTGTTCTGCAGATTATCAAGAGCAGCGAAACAGTTTTGATTTACAAACATAGTTAGTCCTACTACTTATCTGCGGTTGCCCAGATCATAACTGCATCATGCTTGCTTATCTGAAACTAATACAAAAAGATAGAGCAGTTTTAACATGGTCCATCACAGGAAACAGAGCAGAAGAAGTACTAGTGCAGGAGCGAATGCAAGGTTCAGAAATCCATCACAGGAGCAAGAAGAATAACAACAGTTTTACTAGCTTGCATGAACAAGTGGAGCAAATTGCTCAGAGGTACATCCGTGGCGATCGTACATGGACGAACTATTACATCAGCCAGTGAGTATCCTCGTATACACTTTGAAAACAATTTCAACATCGGACTTAGTAGACACTTGCAGGCGAGAAGAAGTTGCTGTGCCCTCCAGCGTGAAGATTGGCCGCGGCATTGCACCTCTTCTCCTTCTCCAGCGCCTCTTCGGCCTTCCACGCTGCTTCAAATGGATCGAAGGAGCACGGCCGCGGTTTCAACAAGTGGTCCTGTCCCTGAAGCGATGGAGCGTCAAGATCCGGCACGGCATCGTACCTCTTCTCCTTGTCAGCATCATGGAAGGCAGGGTAATCGGACTGCAGCATGTCCTCCAGCACACCTTGGTCCAAGGCATCCAGGTACAGAGGTTCCTGTTGGCCCATCTCCACGCCAGTGTTGGCTCCAGTGGCCGGCTCAACTTCAATTGGGTCGTCTTCCATCATTCTCATTAGTTCTTCGATATCAAAACCATCTGCCTTCCCATCCGGCAAATTGGAAATAGGCTCCAATGGCTCAAAGACACCCTCTTCAGATGAGCTCCTTGCAATGCTTGAGCCAGCCTCAGGAACAATCTGTTGTTGGCTGTAATGCTTGACAGACTCCAGCACAAGTGATTGGGTGGACTCAAGCACATCTGACTGGGAGGAAATCTCAGGAGCTTGAGCAACGTCGGAGCGGCTGGATGTTGTAGTGGACTCGCATGATGCTTGGGCATACTGAACAGGGAAGTTGGTGTGAGCCAGCGGGCCATGCATTGCTCTGGCTGCCTCATCATACATCAAGAACGACGGTGTGGCAGGTGCCGGGACGGGGACGGCACCGCGCATCCTCTTCTTGGGGCGCGGCGGATGAGGATCGGCGGCGGCAGCCGGCGCTGGCCTCTTCTGCGCGTGCGTGCTCGGGGTCACGGCCTCTGGTTGCTCTTGTTGACGATTGTACGCAGCCGATTCCTGGCGGGCCGCGTCAGGGGCATGCTGAGCCAAGTGCATTCTGCAGAACACCTTCACCCCGTCGGAGACGGTGGCCTCCGGCAGCAGGCATCGGTATTCCTCCATGACCCAGCCGGTGGACTTGCCCTTCTTCTTGAAGGAGAGGTTCTTGACCTCGCCGACCTTGACTCCCGCGTGGAAAATCTCCGTGGTCTTCTGGATGGTCCATGTGCCGCCGCCGGCGGCGCGCACGCTCTGGAGCTTGCTCCCGTTCTTGCTCTTGCAAGTGGTGAAGAAGAACCGGTCGCCGCTGCTCACGGCCTGCGGCACGGGCGCGTATCGGGCGGCCAGATCCTTGGGCTCGCAGCCCGAGATGTTGACGCGGTGGATGAGCTTGTCGACGGCATGCAGCGTCTCGCCGGAGAGGAGGCGTGGTAGGTAGTAGGTGACGGCGTCCACATCCGTGGGGCTCAGCCGGTAGTGGTGGAAGACGTCGTCGACGTCGAGCCCCTCCATCCCGGCCGGCGGCTGCCCGATCTGCTGCTAGGGTTCTACTGCAGCTAGGAAAGGGTGCTGTCGATCGAGGACGGGCGAGGGATTTGGGAGAGGTCTGTCTGCGGGATTGGAAGGTGTTCTGTGCTGATATTTAAAGACGCTGCACTAGGCGATGGAGGACGCGTCAGATTTCCTTTCTCTGAATCCGACTATGTGCCCAGTTCAGTTTCCCGTCAGTTATCTGAAACTTGCAGCTCCCGTTTGCTTTAATTTCCGTCAATCCGATGATGATGCGGTCCTGAAGACGTAGAGAACAGATTCCGTGCTGATTGTGATTCTTGATTTTGAGCCTTATTCGGATCCATTTCTTTTCATCCATGGCAACATCTGTTGCGTGATAATACTGTATAATTTACCTTCAGAGACATTGTTAACAGCGGCAAACAGATTCAGCCCAGAGAGAAATATTTGGCCCCTGTCCAACTGCATGTGCAATTAACATCGGCCATGGCACCACCTGCGTGATGCCTATTTACCTCGCACGATTCACGCAATGTCTTCCAGTCAGAATGGATTCAAGTGGCCTGGAACTGGTACTTGCCTTGGTAATGTATCATCAAAACTAGTCCAGCTGACTTTGTGGGACTCACTGTCAGGTTTGACTTTGGTCAAGTCAATGCTGACTGTGCTGATGTAATGTTGACACAGCAAATCATCTCTGGATTTTAAATAAATCTAAATGATTTATTTATTTTCAGAAATTTGCCTAAACTTCAAAAAATCATATAAAATCAATCGTAGCTCAAAATGAAATAATTTATATATGAAAAAATTATAAGAAAAATCCAAACTTTTCGTTTGTACCATTTTGAGCTACGATTTTTCCAAAGGGGGGAGGCCGGCCGGCCCTAGAGGGCGCGCCAGGAGGAGGAATCCTCCTCCTAGTAGGAGTAGGATTCCCCTCTTTCCTACTCCTACTAGGAGGGGGAAAGGAAGGGGGAGAAGGAGAAGGAAAGGGGGGCGCCACCCCCCTCTCCTAGTCCAATTCGGACCAGAGGGGGAGGGGGCGCGCGGCCTGCCCTGGCCGGCCCCTCTCTCTCTCTCTCTCTCCACTAGGGCCCAATAAGGCCCATTAACCCCGAGGGGTTCCGGTAACCCCTCCGGCACTCCGGTAAAATCCTGATTTCACCCGGAACTCTTTCGATGTCCAAATGTAGGCTTTCAATATATCAATCTTTATGTCTCGATCATTTTGAGATTCATCGTCATGTCCGTGATCATATCTGGGACTCTGAACTACTTTCGCTACATCAAAACATATAAACTCATAATACCGATCGTCACAGAATTTTAAGCGTGCGGACCCTACGGGTTCGAGAACTATGTAGATATGACCGTGACATGTCTCCGGTCAATAACCAATAGCGGAATCTTGATGCTCATATTGGTTCCTACATATTCTACGAAGA